GGCCACACAGCCCAGAAGACCCACACCAGCCATCGTATGCCGGCCATGAAAGCCTTCAACAATACAATAGGCAGCCTGTTTGCAAGTATGAGTTCTGACTTACATACAAATTCAAGTTAAAGACAGACTTGGGAACAGATCCTCGTTCTTAACCCAGGGACATCAAACAACAGAACATATAATAAAACTAAAATATTACATCAAACAAAATATATAATAAAACTAAAATATCTGAGTAAAATATCTGTTTGGAATGAACATTGGAATGTCTCTGAAAACAAACTAATCAGGGTATAATATTCTTTTTAATCATTGCTCTTACTCTACCAATTAATAGAATTTTAATTCTTCTATTAATATTCATAGCAATCTTATCTACAGCATTTAACATATTAATTTCCACATGTTTTGAAATGTCTTTTGGTACATATAATCCTAAATATTTAACATATTGTGTATAGATTATAAAACCCTTCTTTTTTCATTGATCTAGTAATATACCAGATTCCAAGGAAGTAAATTAGATTTTTCCTAATTAATCTTGTAACCTGAATATTTACTAAATTGTTGAACTACTGATATCCAGTTAGGCCAGGAGGTAAAGTAATTATCTAATGTTGTCAGAATATCAGCATATAAAAATAATTTATACTCAGAATCACCCAATGCAATACTAATAATATCTCAAGATTGCCTAATACAAATTGCTAATGTTTCAAGAATTAAGTCCAAAAACAATGGAGAAAATGAACAATAGGTGTCAAACTGTAACTCAGTTGGTTTAGAAATAAACTGATTTTTTAAAATAACTTTTGATGTTGGTTGTATATAGTAGAATTGTAGAGTTGGAAGGAACCTAAGAGGTCATCAGGTCCCATCCTCTGATTCACTACAACATCCCTGCTAGACGACTATCCAGTCTATCTTTGAAAACCTCCAGTGAAAGTGAAGAAACCATTCTATGCACTAACCTGTTCCACTGATTGACAGCTCTTACTGTCAAGAAGTTCTAATGTCTAATCTGTATCTATATCCTTGAAGTTTCATCCTGTTAGTTAGCCTCTGCAGCAAGTGACAGTAAGTCTGAACCCTCTACAATGTGACTGTTCAGTTATTTGAAGACAGCTATCATGTCGCCTCTCAACCTGCAAGCTAAACGTCCTAGATCTTTTAACCATTTCTTGTAGGACTTGTTTTCCAGTCCTTTCACTATCTTGGTAGGCCTTCCCTGGACTTGCTCCAGTTTATCAATATCTTTTTTTTTTAAACTGGGGTGTGCAGAACTGAACACAGTACTCCAGATGAGGCCTGACTAAGGCAGAGTAGAGCGGGATAATTGTTTCCTGCGATCTGGATGCTGTGCTCTTCTTAATGCTCCTCAAGATGTCATTGGCCTTCTTTGCAGCTGCATTACACTGTTGGGACATGTTCAGCTTGTGTTCTACCGGTACACTGAAGTCCTTCTCACACATGCTGCCTTTGAGCCAGGTTTTCCCCATTCTGTACATGTTTCTTTCGTTTTTCTTACCTAGATGTATGACTTCACATTTCTTCTGTTAAATTTCATTCTATGTGTTTTTGCCCACTGTTTTAGCCTAAGTCTTTTTAATTTTTTCCCTCTTCCCCCAAGTATTAGCCACCCCTCCTAGCTTTGTATCAGCTACAAATTTGGTAAGCATTCTCTCAATTGTAAATTGCAATCCATTTAATAAAAGAAGTGGTAAGTAAGACCAGATTCTTTGGGGAATTGGAACTGTTCCCCAAAATCTGACATGCTCCTGGAGGAATAAATAGCTCTTAATACTCTCCTGTGTAAGGGACTGCTGTCCTGCTTGTGCTAGGTGTTCTATTCCCTACCCCTTACATCATATTCCCTCTAAAGTCCTGGACCAATATGCTACCCAGAATGATCTGCAGCTTCTACAAGGCAACAGCTGTCTCTTACTTGTATGTTTTCCCTGGCTTTGCATGCCTCTCAGATTAAGTGGGCAAAGGCAAGAACAGAAGTGAGGTGGTGGTGTTTCCCCACTCACCCATCATCTTTTGGATGGAGATGCCTGGCCCTTATTACTGTATCTCACAAAGGCAGAGCAGATAAGCAATTGGAAGCAGCGGCTACTTCTGACAATCACACCTTGCTTGCTTTTATGCTGGCTAAGAGGCAGTGCTCTCTTATGCTGTTTGCCCTCTGGGGCTGGGTCAGGTGGGAGTTCACACCTTTCAAGGGCTACTGCATATCAGCAACAATTCCATGGAGATGGTGAAGCTTCAGCAGCTGTCAAAGTGTGCAAATGTCTGAAATACTTCAGGGAATGAGCCAGTAACAATTCTGTTTCAGCATATTCCCAGTGTTACAGTCAAAGGTATACTAGTTCTGTCTCAAGAGACTTTGAGACTCAGTAAAATAAGCAAGAAAACAATTAATCAGAGTGTTTAGCCTTCACTGAATTAATTATTGAAGTGGCTGCATTTTAATTTCTCGTGTCATTAAATAACAGAGTCTTGGACAGATTATTTAATTCTGGCCTTTTCACTCAAAAACTGCATATTAACCAAACAGAAAAACGCCTCTGGGGTTGTTTTGAATTTTTTTTCTTGCCATTTAGGTAAACCTTACTAGTCCTCATTAATGGGACAACATTCACATATAGTGGTGCTTTAAAATTTGTAAACCTTTTTGAACTTTCAATATCTCTGAATAAATATTACTTAAAACATGATCTGTTCTCCATACAAGTCCTAAAACTAGATAAAGAGAGCCCAATTAAACAAAGGAGTAAAAAATGTTATATTTGTACATTTATTTACTGAGGAAAATAATCCAAAGCTACATATGTGTGGCAAAAGTATGTGAACCTTTGCCTTCAGTATCTGGTGTGCCCCCCTTGGGCAGCAGTAACTGCAACTAAATGCTTCTGATAATTCTTGATCAGTCCTACACATCGGCTTGGAGGAATTTGAGCCCATTTCTCCTTATAGAACTGCTTCAACTCCGGGATGTTGGTGTGCTTCCTCGCATGAACTGCCCACTTCAGGTCCTTCCACAACATTTCTGTAGGATTCCATTCAGGACTTTGACTTGGCCATTCCAGAACATTAACTTCTGCTTTAACCATTCTTTGGTTAAACAGCTTGTGTGTTTTGGGTTGTTGTCTTGCTGCATGACCCACTTTCTCTTGAGCTTCAGTTCATGGACAGGTACCCTGACATTTTCCTGTAGAAATTGCTGGTACAATTCAGAATTCATAGTTCAATCAATGATGGCAAGCCATCCTGGTCTAGAGGCAGCAAAGCAGCCCCAAACCATGATATTGCTACCACCATGTTTCACAGATGGGATAAGGTTCTTATGCTGAAATGCAGTGTTTGCCTTTTGCCAAACATAATACTTTTCATTCAAGCCAAAAAGTTCTATTTTGGCCTCATCCATCTACAGAACATTCTTCCAATAGAATTCTGACTTATCCACATGGTCTTTTGCAAACTGTAGACAGGTAGCAGTAGTCTTTTTGGAGAGAAATGGCTTTCTCCTTGCAACCCTGCCATGCTCACTATTGTTGTTCAATGTTCTCCTGATGGTAGTGTCATGAACACTGACATTCACGAATGCAAGAGAGGCCTTTCATTCCTTAGACGTTACCCTGGGGTTCTTTGGGACCTCTCGGAGTATTAACACGCCTTGCTCTTGATGTGACCTTGGTTGGTTGACCACTCCTGGGGAGGATAACAATAGTGTTGAATTGCCTCCATTTGTACATGGTCTGCCTGACAGTGGAGTTTGGTGGCGTCTAAACTCTTTGGAAATCATTTTATAACCTTTTCCATCCTGGTGAACATCAAGTATTTTTCAGAAGTCCTCAGAAATCACCTTTGTTCGACCCATTACACATTTCCACATACCTGTGCTGTGAAGATCAGACTTTGATAGTGAATATCCAGAATCTTGTTCTTTAAATAATACAGGATCTCCCACACTCACACTGAAACACTTGGCTCTAATTTCCCTTTCAAATGAACTGATAATTCTAGAGGTTCACATACTTTTGCCACACAGAGATATGTAGCTTTGGATCATTTTCCTCAATAAATAAATGAACAAGTATAATGTTTTTTACTCATTTGTTTATTTGGTTCTCTTTATCTAGTTTTAGGACTTGTGTGGAGAACAGATTATGTTTTAGGGTCATATTTATAAAGAAATATTTAAATTCAAAAAGGTTCACAAACTTTTAAGCACCACTGTAGATGTTTTCCTTGATTTACTAATTTTGCACACTTTTCCCCAAACACAGGGGCATTGAAGCTTCATGCAAATTGAAAGCACCCCTTATGCTTTTCTGGGATGGTAACAATTCCGCAGCACTATGTTTGTCATATTTGTTGAAATGTATTTGTTTATAATCATGTCTACTGAGAATTCAGGTAGAGCAAAGCTGGCAAACTAAGCTGCAAACTAAGGATACGTTCCAAGTGAATTCAAACCCTGAAAACAATAATCTAATGTAGTGAATTTCATATTCTCAATAATCTCTTGCAAAGTTAGAACTTCCTGATACACCACAGCATATGGTAAAGTTTCTGAGATTTATTATAGACAATTGTTCTGTTTAGTTGGGACATTTCCCATGTCTGTTTGGATTAATTTGTCATTTTTGATTCTTTCCTTCCCTTTCCACCCCCTTTGTTATCCAAATAAATCAGTGTGCTTTCACTAGCTGGAATGTACATGTATATATGCTGCAACAAGTGTGAGTTTATTTGCAGACTGCCATAGATGGTGTTCCTAGGCCTGTTGTCCCACAGTGCCCTGACTGTTAGTAACAGATTGATGCTCTATTCATCCTTTCTATATGTCTCATTATTCTACGGGTTGTTCAAAAATATTTTGTGTTGATTTGTACATTGGCTAGTTCTTGCAATCTAAGAAACTAATTTTTCTTTCCATGGGTTCTGTAAATTGTTGTCAAATATTAGTTTCTTAGTAGCCTCAGGAAGAAGACGTTAGACATGCTTCTGATCATGTATCTAGTGGCTGAGAAACAGCAGCTTCCTGTCAACAAGTAAGGAGGAAAACTGCAGATATTACTTATAATAATACTCAGTATTGTAGAAACACACTGAGTTTCTACAATATTTTGTTCACAGTTCACTTACCCTCCCTATAGTTTTTCCCCATTTGCCACATTTCACTGTTTTTTATCCTGTGATTTAAGGTGCTCAGAAATCAATGTTGATATTATTAACAATAATTAAAAAGTTGCCAAACTTGTTGGAAACAAGGGACGAACGACAGCTGCCAGAATTAAATTTATTACCATCAGTTATGGCTTGTTGATTCTGATCTCTGAAGGTATTTGTAGGAAATATGGGATATTGAGGTCAGTATGCAGTGAAGACTAAGTATTGGCTTGGATTAGTGTCTTATGTGTTTCTTTTCTTTGTTTTAGAATTGACATCAAACTGGACCCAGGAGATACCCCCTCTTTTTAAAAAAGTAGTCATAGTGTTGATTGATGCCTTGAGAGATGACTTTGTTTTTGGTTCAAAAGGTTTACAATTCATGCCATATACAACACAGCTGGTGGAAAAAGGCACAATTCATGCTTTTATAGCAGAAGCCAAGGCACCTACTGTCACTATGCCTCGAATTAAAGTAAGTTCTGATACCTTGGAAATAAAGAAATATTTCTTAAGCAGTGATAGTTGTCTTCTGCTAAATCAATGGCAGACTACCCGGTACTGTCCAATAGTTTGACTAATCTGGAGGGAATGGGGTTGTTTCTGTATTTGCTAAATTCATACACTGCGTGCACAATTATTAGGCAAGTTGTATTTTTGAGGATGAATTTCATTATTGAAAACTACAGTGCTCTTGGTCAATCC